GCTCTTTGCTTGAGTTCAGGGGCTAAGCCTGGGCCTCAGCATGTGAAGGCTGGCAGACCTTGTCCCAGTGTCCAGCCTGAACCCCACACCTCACGGTGGCGACCAGGAAGCCAGCGGCAGGCTCCAAGGGTGCAGAGCTGTGATGGAGGAGCTTAGATTGAAAGTCCATTTGCTCACGCACCACTGTGTATGCAATTAAGACCGTCTCCAAGCAGAAGGCAACGACCAAAGTCCTTCTCTGAGTACAGAGACAGCTGGTCTCCATTACCCGCCAGGTGATATAACTGGGACCTTATAAGCATATGAGGATGGAAAGGCACTGTAATTCGAAAATAATTTTGAGCTCAGCAAAGGAGGAAGAGTAGTGAAACTATTATATTACACGGCATCCTCCTACAATTCAGAATGTAAACAGTCACCCCACCTTGGATTCCTGGTGGCTCTCCAGGAACAGCTGGGATTCTGTCTCGAGTGGCCACCGGGTGGCCAATCAGTGGAGGGACGGCTCTTGTCCACGGAGCTTGGATCTGCCCTCCTCTATTACACCTCCCCCTCCCAACCCCAGACAGGTAGGGACCTTTCCCTGATTCATCACTCAAGAAACGTTAACAGCTAAGGGTTACTAGGTCTCGGTTTTCAGAGCAGTATCACCCTCACAACTCGCCTTGCAACGTAGAATACTTTCAATCCCCATTTCAGCGATGGAAACACAGAGTCTCACTGTGTAGAGGACTTGCTCAGGGTGACATGGCCAGTGTGTCACCAAGGGGGCACTGGACACAGGCCTCTGGATCCCGAACCTTCATTCACTACATCGCACACCGTATCATATTAAGGGGAATGACCCCACAACCTTCCCACATGTCATGCCTTCCCATCATTGCTTATCATGGAGTAACAAGCAACTGTTACTCACCCCTGGCACTAATGAGGCTTGGGGCTGGATAATTCTCTGCTGGGGGGCACTGGGGGCCTGTCCTGTGCATCGTAGGACGTTTAGCCTCCTACTAGATGCTGGTGGTATCTCCCTTCCTCGCACTGTAGTTGCGACATTCGACCACGTCTCCAGATACTGCCACGTGTCCTCCGGAGCACACAGCCACCCCCCGTTGATATCCCCCCAACAGAGCATTATAGTGAAGACACTGGCCGCAAAGATGGTCTATACGGCCCCAAATGCCACTTCCCCCCAGCCCCCCGGGTCACATGCCAGGTGCCTCTGGGCAAGTCTTTTGACCTAAGTTTCACCGCGGTCACTTCAGAACACGGCGTCACCTCTGGGCTGAGTCAGGGTTGTCTCCTGCCTCCTCGAATGCAGGGCATCTGAGCTGGGCGTGGGGGGCGGGTCCTTCCCCAGGGGCTGGGGGTCTGGGAAGGAGGGGGTGGGGGATAGGCAGAGCTCTCCTGTGACCGGCGCCTGCCACTGTCCAGGTGGGCTGTGTCCTGGGTGAGTCTGGCAGAGTCCCAAACTGACTCAGAGATTCCCACCCACCACCCACCCTCCCCGGCTAGCTCAGCTCCCCTCCACCCACACCGGCTCCTGTCCCCAGAGTCCCTGCGCCCTGTCCCTGTCCCGTGGGAGGCCCTCTCGGGATGAGGGAGGCTCCCCTGGTGCCACCCTGTTGAGCTGAGGACTCACAGAACTGCAGCTGTGACCCCTGCAAACGCTCTCTCTTCCTCTCCCCTCTTAGGACCCCTGTGTACACTCAGGGCGGCGGTGGTGGTCCGTGGTTCCCACAGTATTCTGCACACGTTCTCTCTGGGGTCTCACGTCTACGGAGCCGTGCCTGCAGCAGAACCGGGACAGGAGAGTCCACGCCCGCTCGCTGGTCTCCGCCGCCCAGAGGAGGTTTCGGTACCTCCTTAGGGAAGTATGACTTGTACCATGTGAGACTGTATCACAGTTGGCAGTGAAAATGCTCTTGCTGCCCCGTGAGTTACTACTAACCTCATTTTACAAAGGAGGAAGTTAAGACACAGAGGTTGAGAAACTCATTGGCTCCGAATCCCACAGCCCCTGAGGGGTGCACCTCAGAGTCAAGCCTCCAAACCCAGGCTCTTCAATCTCCCCACCCAGCACCTGCCTGGCTTGCTTCCCAGCCTTGTCCCAGCACCTGGTCACACACGCGCGCGCGCACACACACACACACACACACACACACACACACACACGGCTGAGGGCCACCCACTGCAGGCCAGGAGCCCCGCCCCTCCCCCAGGCACAGACACTGCAGAGGATCAAAGCCCCTGATGTTCTCAGGGACCAGGTGGCAAGGGTGGGGCTGGAGATATCAGAGGGAGGGAAGGAGTGGGAGATGGACTTGGGAAGGCAGAAATGTTGATTTTGGCCAGAATCTAAGAAGCCTTAAATGCCTCACGCAGGACTTTGAATTTTATTCTAAATATAATGGGAAGGCATCGGGACGTTTTAAAGAGGAAAGCTCCGCTGTTAGACCCATGACTTGGGAAGAGAGGGTGAGGAGAGAGTTGCGGGAGGAGGTGCTGCAGGTGTCAGGTTAAAGGTTGCTGAGGGCTGGCCTGGGTGCAGGTGGATAAAGACATGTCACATTAGGATGACCAGGACTTGCTGACCAAGGTGTAAAACATGACTGACATTCTTCATCCATCAGACTGAAAAAGAAAGAAATTAAAAATAGACTGATAATGCCTAGTGCTGATGAGGGGGTGGAGAAATAGTCTCTGCTCTGCTCTTAGAAGTGTAAACTGGTACAACCTTTACGGAGGGTCATTTGAAGTTGTGTATTAAATTAAAACTTCACAAGCTCTGTGAGCCAGAAAACCCACTTTTAAGAATCTAGCCTAGATATGGAATTCCCTGGCCGTCCAGTGGTTGGGACTCCACACTTTCACTGCCAAGAGCCAGGGTGCAATCCCTGGTCGGGGAACTAAGATCCCTAAGCCGCAGAGCGCAGTCAAAAAAGAAAAAAAAGAAGACGACAAAAAAGCATCTGGCCTGGAGAAACAACTGCGTGAACACACACAGCTAAAACGAACAAGGAGGGTGACTGCACCACTGTTAGCAAAGGGGAAAAACCTCAAAACAGTTGGAACTCCCTTCAGTAGGGGAATGGCTAAATAAAATATGGTACATGCACTCTGTAGCCCTTAAAAAGAATGAGGACAAGTGGCTCATTCTGATCAGAAAAGATGCCCAGTCTTTATTGTGGACTGAAAATATCTAATTGCAAGCCAACATGCGTTTTTGTGATTTTTAAGAAAGGATTGCTGTGCCTATATATCAACATTGATGTACCTACGACTGCAATGGCCATGGGAAAAGAGCTGGGATGAATCTGTTAGTGTGGTTCCGTGTGTGTGTGTGTGTGTGTGTGTGTGTGCGCGCGCGTGTGTGTGTGTGTGTGTGTGTGTGAGATTAGAGAGGTTCAGAGGTGGGTGAAAAGGAGGCTACTACCTATTTTTTGTGCCATTTAAAAGATTATTTTAAAATTTACATGTAGTGAAATGCATCTTTTCTGTCGTACAGTTCTATGAGTTTGAACACATGCTTAGACTCTTCTAACAACCATCAAAAACGGGCTGCAGAACAATGTCAACACCCCACAAAATTCCCTGGTACTACCCCTTTGTAGTCAGACCCACCTCTACTCCCAAACCCTGACACCTGCTGATCTGCTCTGTCTCTGTATTGTTGCCTCTTTCAGGCATCATATAAATGGAATAATACACTTGATAATCTTTTGAGACTGGCTACTTTCACTTAGCATATGCATTTAAGATTCATCCGTTATCGTGTGTGTCAACAGTTCATTCCTTTTCACTGCTGACTCATATTCCATTGTGTGGGTTGTTTATCCACTGGCCAGTTGAGGGATATTGGGGTCGTGTCTAGTTTTTGGTGATTATGAATAACGCTGCTATAAACATTTGTGTTCAGGCTTTTGGTTAACCTAAGTTTTCCTTTATCTAGGATAAATACCTAGAAGTGGGATTGGTGGGCTATAAGGTAAGTGTACTTTTAATTTTGTAAGAAGCTGCCAATTTCCAAAGTGACTGTACCAGGGACTTCCCTGGTGGTCCAGTGGCTGAGACTCCACGCTCCCCATGCAGGGGCCCCGGGTTTGATCCCCGGTCAGGGAACTAGATCCCACATGCATGCCGCAACTAAGAGTCCACATGCCCCAACTCAGGAGCCTGCTGGCCGCAATAAGACCTGGCACAGCCAAATAAATAAATAAATAATAATAAAAACAAAAACAAAGTGACTGTACTGTTGTGCATTTCCACTAGCAATGAGTGAGAATTCCAGTTGTCCTGCAACCCCCTGGGCACATGGTATTATCAGCATTTTTAATTTCAGCCATTCTAACATGGCTAAAATGAGATACTAATGTGATAGTATCTCATTATGGGTTTTTATTGGTGTTTCTCTAAGGGTTAATGATGATGAATATCTTTCATGTGCTTATCTGCCATCTGTATATTCTCTCTGGTGAAATAACTATTCATATCTTTTGCCCATTTTCTAATGTATATTTTGGTTTTGTACTGTTGAGTTTTGAGAATACTTTATATATTTTAGATACCAGTCCTTCACTGGATATATGGTTTGCAGATATTTTCTCCTAACGCATAGCTTGTCTTTTCATCCTCTTAATGGGGTCTTTGGCAGAGCAAAAGTTTTAAATTCTTAAGTCCAATTCATCAATTTTTCCTTTCACGGATTATGCTTTGATGTCAAGTCTAAGAACTCTTTGCCTAGTCCTATGCTCCAAAAATTTTTTTCCTAAGTTCCTACAAGTTTTATAGTTTCATTTTACCTTTTAAAAAAATATATTTATTTATTTGGGTGCACCAGGTCTTAGCTGCAGCATGTGGGATCTAGTTCCCTGACCAGGGATTGAACCCGGGCCCCCTGCATTGGAAGCACAGAGTCTTAGCCACTGGACCACCAGGAAAGTCCCCTCATTTTACTTGTAAGTCAGTGAATCCTTTGAGTTAACTTCTGTATATGATGTGAGACTTTGGTCAAAGTTCACGTTTTTGCATATGGATGTTCACATGCTCCACAACCATTTGTTGAAAAGGTGAAGTAAAACCAAACGATATGGCCACATTTTTTACAAGGGTGCAAAAGTAATTTGCCTGAGCTCCGTGGATCTGTAAATTTGTTTTTCCAAAATGTAGGAAGTTTTCAGTCATTATCTCTTCAGGTATTTTTCTCTCTTCAAATCTATTTCTCCTCTTCTCTTGGACTCCCATGACATGAATGTAAGACTTTTTAATATTGTTGCTCCGGCCCCCAAGGCTTTTTTAAAAATCTTTTTTTCTCTTTGTGTTCAGGATGTTTTCTATCGATCTATCTTTAAGTTCATTGACCCTTTCTTCTATCATCTCCATTCTCCTAGTGAACTCTTCCAGTGAATTTTTAATTTCTGTTATATTTTCCTGTTCTAAAATTTCTCTTTGGCTTTTAAAAATAGCTTCTGTTTGTTTACAGAGAATCTTCCCATTTGTTTCAAGAGTGCTCACCCTTACATGTTGGAACCGTGGTATAACAGTTGCTTTAACATCTTTTTCTAATAATTCCAACCTTTGGATCATCTCAGGGTTGATGCTTGTTGATTGCCTCTTTCTTTGAGAATTCTTTTGGTTTTCATGGTACTCTGTAGGTTGAATAATTTTGGTTTGTATCCGAGACATTTTGAGTATTATGTTGAGACTTGGTCCTGTTAAAATTCTCAAAGGTTCTTCTGTGCTGATCTGCAGGTGCATCTCAGGGCCAAGCCCAGGATTTCATACCTGTATGTGAAGGACCCTTCTCAGGTGTTTCCCTTCTGTGGTTTTTCACACCCCAAGATTCTCTGGCTAGAAAGCTGGGATTCAGCCTCTGCGTTGCTCTGCACTCTTATGACCGGGACCACCTGAGGGGCAGAGTGGCAAGGGAAGGGAACCTGCAGGACCACCAGCACAACTGTTGAGGGGGTGTGGCTTCACTACGGGCTCTGCTATGGGGGTGTCCTAGTCGAGGAGAGTGATCGCACTGGGAGGCAAGTGAGGATGAGCGGATGTACACGGTCTGAGGAGCACAGGAAAGGTGGGGAAATGGAGGCCCAGGGTGTGGACCACACTTGCCAGGAAGGGACCATGAGGGTATGGATAAGGCTAAAAAGAAGGGCAGGTGTGAACAAAGTTGCTTTTCTTTAAGAATAAAAGACCTGTATATATATATATATATAAATAAAAAAAAAAAACCAACACAAAATCCCACCAAACTCCTTGTATTCTACTCAAATGAACTTGAATACACTGAAATAACTTTGTCGTTAGAGACGGTGACAGTCTTTTCGAGCTCATTTCCTCCAGAAAACCTCCCTGCCATCCAAAGAAAGATGGGCATCTACCTACAGTCGCCGCCACCTGCCTCCCCGGGCCCCTAAGCTCCCGGACAGCAGGGCTGGCGTTCTCTTCCTGACCACCTTTTAGGGCCAGCACAGTGCAGTGTGCATGGCAGGAGTACGTGAATGTTTGTTGGAAGAACGAATATGCATGAACGAGTGAGGACTGGCTCCAGGACCTGGTGTGCCACTGTCACCAGCCCGGTCTGGAGGGAACAAGCATGGACTAGAGGCAGGGGCTGGTGATCAAATGAGGCCCCTGGTGAGAACAGTGCTTTGTCTAGCTACTCTCCAAAATATCCAACAAGTGTCTACCACTACGTAGAAAATAAAACACACACACACACACACACACACACACACACACACACACACACACGAGACTAGAAGGAAGGTCAACAGGGATAACATCCAGAGAGTGGACCTACGGACGACTACTTTTTTCTATACGTTTTGTGTATTTCACCATTTTTCCTGCTCCAATTCTAATCCTGAGCGCAGGAAGCTGCTTCCAGACTGCTGATTTAGACTCTGGGACGGATTGGCCCAACAGGAGGATGGGGACTGTCTGCACACGTGAACAGGGCTGATAACCCAGGGCCATTCACCTCCTATGGCAAGTGCGCAGACTGACTGGTCTCCTTTGCATCAACGAGCACAAACATACTGGGCTCACAGCGACCACCCCAAGGTGCCCTGTGAGGCTCAGCCCGGTCAGCAAGCTGGGCTCCTCTGTTGATTGCCAACAACCATCTTATCCTCCCCGAATCCCACACCCCCGGGGTTTCTCCGTCTTCAGGGAAGGAAGACAGGGTGTAGGGGACAGGTGGGGGAAGAAGCAGGAGTGCTGGGACAAACTAGATGGAGTCCCGGAGATGGAACTGTGCCCATCTGGGACACCTCCATAACCCAACTGTATGGTGCGCACCCCTGGAAGGGGGGCAGGGGAGATGGCAGCCCATCTGGGAGCTCTGGGTAAAAGCGCCTGCCACCACAAGATAATAAACAGCAGTAATTAGGCCTTCCTGGAAAACTGGGTAATACTGTTATTACAACGTTTTATTATCTGTATGTTTTATACGAATTTAATTGCCTTCAGCTGCTATAATTTGGGAGCCATGAGGGCGAGAGCAGAAATAATAACGAATTGAACCACAAGCAGACCCAGGGTCTGGGGAAGGGGTGGAGGCTGCTTCACTGATGGGCTCTGGGAGCCTGGGGCTCTGAGATTCTGATCTGGCCTGCAGGAGACAGCCCCCAGACCCCACGGTCCCAGGGGGCACCAGACAGCAGCCCTCAAATACCATCCACCCTGGGAGGGTCGGTTTCCCAAGAGAATGTAAGAATTATCTCCTCTCTTTGCATCGAAATGAAAATCACTACCCTTGCCCCCTAAAGCAACCTAGATTCTTCCACTCCAGAATTCATCTGAGTCAGTTACTTCTGTGGCTTAGGGAGTGCTAAGTCGGACAACACAACTCTCTTCTATTTAAGCAAAGCCATTAATAAATATTATATTGTACTTTACAAAACAAAAGGAAAAACAGAAGCTCTCTAACTACAGACCATTCCAGCCAGTTGACAGTGAACAAAGCCTGACTCTCACAGCTTAAGCTGAGGAAGTTATAAATTATCAACGTGTCGAGCTTCGCCCTCTGAAGCTTCTTTTCCAGATCTGACCGTGAAGCTGAGTATCCTGTCTTTAAGTTCTGTTCATTCAGCAAGAGAGACATCTTCAATTCTAGCCCACGAAGGCGGATGGTGCTGACGTCAGGGTTTTATCTGCACCCTCCTCCGCCCTGGCTATTTCAATGGCGTTTTGAATCACTCTGTAACAGCTTCAATAACCTGGAAATTTGCAGAGTGGATAATCAGCTACAGCTTGAACCTCCCCCAAAGTTCCCTCACTGATGACCCTAATGTAGCGGCAGCAGCAACAGCAAATCGCAGCGGAGCCAAGGGGCCTGGATCAGGAAGGCTGCATGTGTAGGCTCTTCTGGGGGCGTTTTCCCGAAACTTCTCCCTGGAATCGCCTGCATCTTTGGGTATCGCCTTAAGAATTTAGAGCCCTTTATACACTGCACTTTTACTAACTTCCTAGGAAGAAGACACAAAAGACTAGAACGTCTTTAAACCTGTCTTCGTGTGTGTGCTTCGTCCTCCTTTCAGGGTGTGGGGTCCCTGAGAGAACTGGGTTCTACTTCCTCTCTGTTCCACAATGCAGTGATGAAACAGAGTCCTGAACTTAGAGCAGCCACTTAAAATATCCTGAAAGTTGTGTTGTTTTATAAAATCTGCCATGGAAAATTTCTCCTTAGTGCTCCCGTCACACCCACACCCACACCCACACACCCACCCACACCCACACACACGACTCGCATGTCTAGTTCCATTTTGGTACACTGACTTCCATCAATAAAAGAAACCAACAACGAGAGATTCTTTAGCTCCACTGAAAATACCCGTTTCCAACAGATTCCATCTGAAACACTATATAGAGTGACAAATGTCAAAGATAGAGAAAGGTCATCTATTTTGTCTCTGCTCATTTTAAAAGACAGTTGCTTTACAAGATTCTTACATTCTGCCCCAATCTTAACACCATCTCCCTTTTGGGACAGTTCAGGCCCACCTGATGAAGAACTCAGATTTTACGAAGACTCAGGACTCCAATAGAGGGGACTCTTCCTGTGTGAGGCTGGGCCCTGTAAGCCTGATTATTATTAAACAGGATGAAATTCTTCCTTTGGGGAAAAGGTCGGAATGATGCTAAGTGACAGTGGAGCCAGATGCTTCATTTATAACCAAGAACCAGGTGAGGCCCCAGGAGGGCCTCCACCCATGAGAGCACACATTGCCCAGGAGGGATATCCCTTCTGGAGGAAAAAGTGTCTGAGTGATCCACTGAGAGGCCCAGCTCCTCTCGGAAGACGCTGCAAAACGAGTTTCCACATTTTCCTGACTTCTCAGAACTTACACAAAACCTTGATATTTGTTTCCCTTCCCCAGTCTCTATTCCTAACTCTTGATCAAACATGTTGGTGGTACCAACAGGAATTTTGACTTTTCCTCCAGTTCCCCGGCAAGGTTTTTACCCAATGCATTTATATATCAATACCTTGCCAGACGTCCAGCAAGACATTCCAACTGACCTGATTTCCCCACAGCCCTGACCCTTCGCGAACACCCTCCCCAGGCTGCTCCACGCGGGCCTCTTACCAGCTGCCCTGTGGGGCGACTTCCTCTCCGCCGCCTGGCTCTCCTTCCTGGGGTCGGCGGACGGCCCTACCTTCTCGGGGTCCCGGGGGCTGGCGTCGGGGGGCGCGGGCAGCTGGGGGAGGGTGAGGGTCTGCAGTAGCGGCTTCCTGGGCAGGGGAGGCTTGGAGCTGAGCTGCTCGGTGGACCGGGTCTTCGCCTTCCCCGGCTCGTTGAGAGACCTGGCGCCTCGGGCGGCGGGGCCCGTCCCGGGCGGACCCTTGTCGTTCCTGGAGAGCAAGGTCAGCCCTCCTTTCTCCAGCCTGACCTCCGCGCTGTACCTCTTGATTCCCCTCCCCTCCGGGCAGGGCGCTTCTCTGTGTTTGAAGGACAGAGACGTGGAGCGGAGCTTGACCGGGAAGGGGCTTCCGTCCCCGCCCGCGGGCCTCTCCCGGGCGGCTGGGCCGGGGTCCGCGGTGGCCGCGTCCGGAGAGCCGCGCTCGGCCGGGGCGGGCGGCTTCCGAGGACCGGGCTTCAGGCCCTGGGGCTCGGCGGGCGCCGGGAGGTCCTCGAGGGCGGCCTCGCTCTTCCAGGCCGGACCGCTCCTGAGAAGCGGCAGCCGGACGGCGGGGCCTCGGGGCTCCAGCAGGCGGCCCCCCGCGCGCGGCCACTCGCGGCCCGACGACACCGAAAACTTTTTGGCGGCCCGCGCCTCGCGGCCTCCTCGCTCCATCTTGCGCTCCGGCGCCGCCGCCTCCGTGGGGGATCCCTCCCGCTCGGCCCTGGGGGGCTCCGGGGGCGCCGCCTCCTGGTCCAGGGATCGCGGTGCGGGCGCCTCTGCAGGCGACGCCGAGGCAGGCGGTGAGGGGGCCGCGCCGAGGTTCGCGTTCGCTGTCGCAGCCGAGGCCTTGTGCTTCAAGCAGCTCTTGGGGGCCGGCGGGCTGGGGGCCGGGGCTGCTGGCCCTGCGCCCTCGGGACCCGGAGCGTCCAGGGTCAGTCGCACCTCCTTCGGACCGGTGTGGTCTGGCCCGTCGGGACCAGAGGGCGTCTCCCAGGTGGCTATGGGTCCGGGCTCGGGAGGGGTCGTGTCCCCCTCGGGGATGCAGGGAGATAATCGACACTCGACGTCTCCCGAAGCACAAACCACCTCGTCTGCTGTGTCCCCGCCGGGGGGACACCGGGTTTCCAGGGACAGCTCCTCCCTTGGGTTTTCGCTGTCGGGATTAGGGTGAGGGTGCGGGGAGCCTTCTGGGCAAGACGGGGACTCCGAGCGGGGGTGTGGGCTCGACACGGGCTCTGTGACCTCCATGACCTCCGGCGTGGCCAAAAGGCTGGAGGGGTTCTCCCCCGGGGGGTTCTCATCCTCGGTGCTAGCGGTGAACGCCGGGCAGTGCTGCAGGCGCGCCCGCCGCGCACGGGGCCCCACAGGTGGCAGCATGGTCGCCTGCCCCCCAGGCTCAGCGCCTCTGTCCTGTCCCCCCTCCTGCTGCCCAGAACTGGGCTTCTCCTCCGTGCTGACTTTGGGTAGCGGCTTCTCGTCGTATTCCTCCTCCTCTGGGGTACACGTCAGATCGCTCAGGGATTCGGACTGCGCTCTCTAAGAGGAATAAAGTGGACAAAAGACAGCATCATCAGGACGAGTATTAGGAAGCCTATGGCCTCCCCATCGTGTTCAAGGTTTAATTAGGTTTAAGGGAAGCAGAACGTCTCTACAGCTGGCACTCAAGTGGACATTCACACACAGCTGTCTTTTCTTAATCCTCCCTTACTGGAATCTTGCCTCCCAAGTTCAGCTTTCAGCAGAACTGAGGCCGCTATGCCCCTAAAATAAACGTTGCCTGAGGCTCTCGAGGCCAAGCTAGAAACCAGTGGACACTGCTCTACAGAGTGAAGCAAAGGGAAGGGGACCAGCATCGGCCGGGTCTGCCATGCTCTGTGCTCGACATGGTTACCTCACTAACTCCCTGATTGGCTCCAGTGAGGAGAGGATTATTACTTCCTGCTTGCACCTGGAGAACTGGGAACTCGGAGAGGTCCCTGCCTTGGCCAAGGCTGAGCTAATAAGTGGCCCAGGGGCAAAGCTGTTGCCCTCTCTGACCCCCTGTGCTGCCTCAGAGCCAGTGTGCCCAGCCGATTCCTTCTCTCTGCAGGGATGCACCCTCATAGCAAAGGCAGAGGCTGGTTTGCCTAAAACATGATTCCTATCATCCCACCACGGTCAACAGCAAACCATAGCTGACAGGATAACGCCCAAACTTTTCAGCTAAATTTGAAGTCTTATATTCTGCCGTTTTTTATTTTATTTTTTTTTTGTCTTTTTGAAATTTTTATTTTATGCTGGAGTATAGTTGATTTACAATGTTGTGTGAGTTTCAGGCGTACAGCAAAGTGATTTAGTTATACATATATCTATTCTTTTTCAGATTCTTAGGTGGGGGGAGGGATAAATTAGGAGGCTGGGATTAACATAGACACACTACTATACATAAAATAGACAATCTATTCTGCCGTTTTAAATGGTCTCTCCCACTCCCTGCTCTGGTCAAGCCAAGCCCCTGCCATTTTACGTACCAGACTCTGGGCCTGAGTGACTGGCCGGCTGCCCTCCAGCCCACACCTCCAGGGTTCCACTAGCACCCCCAGAGCTAGCTCTGATCCCACTCCTACAGGAGGCTTTGCCTGGCTTAGCAGTAAGTCACGGCCTCGTGCTATTTTTCTTCCGAAAGGTCTCTGGAATCTAGATTTGGTCCACTTCCTCCCCACCATCCACAAAGTCAGTTCTTGCTCTCTTAGGAAGGAAAGGAGATCAAGGTAGTCATGATTCATTCACAAGCAAATGTGAAAATGACCGAAAGGCTGAGGGCACTGAGGCTGGTGTTTTTGAAAAGTTCCTGATTTCAGACCTGTCTTTAGACTTTATAGAGTCACCCAGGCTTCTGCACAAGGGCAGTGCCCTCCTTCCTTCTTTTTAGCAAACACCCAGAGAAGTGTTTGCAATAGGTTATTGTTGTTGTTGTTGTTTTAACATTTTCCAGCTGGCATCTGCTTGCTAACACAACATAACTGGGATGTTTGTGACGACACCTAAGCTACCTTTGCCAAGATGCACAACCCTATTCCCCTGGATTCCAAAAGGGGAAGATGTGAAATCCCCAGAAGAATTTTCAAAAGCTGCAGGTTCCTAAGGTGTGACTGGCCTTTTGTTACTCCAGGAAATCCTCGATGTGGAAACCCCTTTAGGACGGTGGCTGGAACCCACATTAGGTCAGCACAAAGCTGAGGCGCGGGCCTGGCTTGAGCACATCCAGCTGGAGCCACTGGCAGCTCCGAGGGGTTACGGTGGGAGGCCGGCAGAAGGAAGGCTGGCACGGAGCGTGCGCTCCAGAGGGTGCCCCCCCCCCCCGATGCTGAGCAGAGGCTCTGCAGGGAACGAAGCGGCACCTACCCGAGCCTGGGCTCTCTGGCCAGGACAGCAGGAAGGATGCGGATACCCGCTCCACCTCCGCCACCCACACCTTGCCTCCCGCTCTGGGCCCTCAGAGCAGCTTCACCCCCTGGAACCCTCCCGAGGAACTGGAAGCAGGGGATCCACTGCTCAGCCCGCACCCAGATGGAGACTCTAGCATGGCTGCCTGCTCATCACCCTCCTCTCGCCAGAAAGAAAGTGTCTCTGGGCAGCATGCACATCATCTATGGGCAGAGGATGGGCACGATGGGCAGTGCCGGTGTGGAGAGGAAGCATCTGTTTCTGACACCCGGGACTTGTTGGCAGCTCTGCCAGCCAGGCGACCTCAGGCTAGTCATCTAATCACGCTGCTCCCGACAGAGCAGAGTTAATAATATTGCCTCTCCTGGCACTGCCTGGGTTGGGATGAGGACCAGCTGGGGTGGTGAGATGTCAGTATACACATTTACGGGCGTTCCACTTCTACTGCGCCAGAGCCACGACGGGGCACGGTTCTGAGCAGCAGGGTAACAAACATGCTGAGACAACCAAAACCTAAGCTGGCCTTCCGTGCGTTCCTCTTCCCCAATCCCTGCTTTGGCGGGGGCAGACGGGTCCAGCCAAATGCAGCCCTGAATATGTTTTTCAAACTTGTAATAAATAGCACAATCTTGACAGCCAAGGTTTTTTGTTTGCTCGTTTTCCTGTGCAAGATGGGATTTTTGGTCTACGAGCATCTCCTTCTCAGCCCCGTCATTCTCTGCAGCCAGGCGGACCCCACAGCCCGCTTCTCAGCTCCTCTGGGGATGAGGCATTGCAGGCACCACTGGGCAGCAGAGAAGGTGACAACCCTACATGGACCTCGAGCCCCTGGTCGCACTGCACGAGCGAGTTCTCAGCTCCCAGAGGGACGAGCTGATGACTGCCCGGGCAGCACGCCAAGGAGGGGTCTGTCCTTACAGGGGCACCACCCCTGTGCTGCTAAGTAGGTCCTCGCCCCAGGCAGTGTCCATTCTAGCTGTTCAGCTTCTCCCTTGGTCATTCACGCGTTTGTTCATCCATTCACGCGTTCAGCTAATGTCCACGCAATGTCAGCTCTGTGACTAGTGTCGCCCCAGGGCTAGAAGTACAGTCTGCTCACGGAAGACTGGCAATAAACAAGTGAGCACCTCCATTTACAAAGGTCACGTCCGTGTATAGCCAGTGCCGTGGAGAAAGTGCCCAGGGTGATGGGCAGGTGGGCTGCTTTCCACAGGACGTTCCTGGGGAGCCCCTTTGGGGAGGGCCTCGGAACCCATCCCCCAAGGACTGAGCAGGGGACACAGCCGGTCCCAAGGCCTGGGGTGGGAGGCAGCTTGGTGAGTGCCAGAAGCAGAAGGGAGGCCACAGCGTGCTGAGTGAGAATGGAAGGAGGTGGGCAGGGCCCCCGGCCCGCAGTGTGGACATCACACGGAAGACAGTGGGAAGGTAGGGGACGCAAGGCGCAGAGCAGGTTCTTGGCAAGCGTTGCAGAATGAAGACTGAATGAATGAGTGCTTAGGACGGGAGGGACATATCTGAGTTAGGTTGAAACCATGAGCACCCCCAGCTCCTGCGGCATGGTCATGGTCCCACAGCCCTCGTGGCGGGGGGGGGGGGACCAGGGGCTCGAGGTCCATGTAGGGTTGTCACCTTCTCCACTGCCCAGTGGTCATCCCCAGAGGAGCTGAGAAGCGGGCTGTGGGGTCCGCCTGGCCACAGAGAATGACGGGGCTGAGAAAGAGATGCTCGTAGACCAACATCCCCTCCCTCCTTCCCTCAAGACAAGATGGTGGGGTGTTGAGAAGTTACCCTGGACCAGCTCGGCACTTCGGGGGGGACCCGCCCACCCTGCCCCTGCCTGGTTACCGAGGACAGACGCCGCATTTTGCTGCACCGCTGGTTGCGGGGTTTCACCAGGAGCTTGTGCTTGGCCGCAGAGTTGTCCAGGCAGGAGGAGAATTCTGGGGGATAATCGAAATCAGCCACGGGGGCCACGCTGCCGTCCGAGGTCCTGGGGGAGACGGAGGCGTCGCTCACTTGCCTGGAGAAGAGCTGGTCAGGAGACTGTGGCCGGGACGAGGAAACCACACAGACCTTCAGGACACAAGGAACACACAGGCCAGGCCGTCAGCTTCCCCGAGGAAACAGTACAGCCGGCACATCAACCTCCCCTTTCACCGGGCTCATCTCTGGGCTGGGGGTTTGAAGTGTCGAGCCAAACCCTGCAGGCCCATCACTCATTTCCAAGAACCTGAGTCCTAGGTGCTCTGTAGCCAGTAACTCTGCCTTCGCCCACCCACGGCAGCTGCACAGGTGCTTCAGACAAGTGCTCCTTTCTCCCATGACACCGACCAGCCCAATTCCTCCAAGGGCGGAGGCAGGCTTGGCCCTGTCTCTGGAAGCCATGGGGGGTGGCTCAAGGGTGTGATTTCACAGGCTGGGGCACAGCCCATGCCAAGCCCTGCTCTCAGCATCCCATCATTGCTCACTCTAGGGTTCTGTATCTTCACGCCTTCTCTTGGGACCATCTGGCTGTAAGTTACCCCTGTTAAGTCTCAAATATTTTACTAGTTCATACCTCGGCAGGAAGTAACTGAAAGGCAGCAAAGGGCAAAAGTGTCGCCTGGGAGGAAGGGGTTGGGGGGAGTCACGTGGAAGAGTGATGGTAACACCGGGTTCTCCTGCAAAGACACTTATCAGCATAAAGTAGCAGACAGGCACCCACCGCGCACCCGGGGGAGCAAGGTGCAGAGGGAGACCTTGGGAGGGGCGGGGCTTTAGTGACAACCCTGCCACCTGCAAACAAACACAGCTTTCTGTTCCAGCATGGTGCTCAATATTAGGGTCAAGTTCACACTTTTTCCCGAAGTGTTTTATTTTCCAGTTTCTTTTACTAAGCGTCTTAACCACGTTTAAGTGTACAGTTCATTGGTATTAAATACATTCATGTCATTGTGCATCCTTCACCACCCACCACCTCCAGAACTTTTCCTCTTGTAAAACTAAAGCTCCATGCCCATTAAACACTAAGTCCCCGATCCCTCTCCCCCAAGCCACGGCACCCACCCTTCTGCTTTCTGTCGCTATGAACTTGACTAAGTACCTCGTATAAGTGGAATCGTACAATACTCGTCCTTTCGTGCCTGGCTCAGTTCACTTAGCGTGATGTCTGAGGTTCATCCGTCTTGTAGCCTGTGTCAGAATTTCCTTCCTTTTCAAGGCTGAGTAATATTCCACTGTGGGTATATACCACACTTTGTGTGTTCACTCATCCAGCCCAAGACACCTGGGCTGCTTTCACGCTTTAACTACTATGTGTAATGCTGCTACGAACGTGGGTGTACAAATATCTCTGCGAGAAACTGCTTTCAGTTCTTTTGGGTCCATACCCAGAAATGAAATGGCTAGATCATAAGGTGATTTTATGTTTAATTTTTCGAGGCATACTGATTTCCACAGTGGCTGCACCATTTTACAATCCCACCGACAGGGCACAGGGTACCAACATCTGTCTTCATGTTCTCTCTCCAACACTTGTTATTTTCTGTTTTCTTTTTTTTCTTTTTAACAGTAGCCATCGGAATGGGTGTGAGGTGGTGCGCTGCTTACATTTTAACCTGAGACCATACTTTTACGCACCGCACGATGATTTAGTAAATGCCCTCCTCAGGAAGGAAGCGGTGACAAGAAGACACAGGAGTGAGGGGCTCCCAGGGGCCCGGGTGCATCTCGCTCAGGGTCTTTCCCACAACCCTGGGCCACACAGGAGCACGTGCCCAGCAGCCTCCCCCACCAAACTAGAGGAGGAAACGGAAGGAAGACGCTGTTCGCAAGCGCGCCACTGACGCGGGGACCACCCGCTGCAGAGGAACGCATTTTCCCGGTTAACATAAAGTCCCTTGTATTTTCCAGTGCAAGTACAAAGCTTATTCCTGTCGATGGGGAGAAGACAATCACCAAAATGAGAGGAAAAATGGTTCTAAGTGAACATAATCTCTTTTAGTTCTGTGGCTTTAGCGATCGGGGTTCTTACGGGAATAAAACAGGAAAGATTATTTTGAAAATAAACCACAGGACACCTGGCCACGACTCCCTCCGTGCCTGTGGCTTTGGCTCTCACTGCTGTAGCTGATGACTCAGGAGGCCCCCTGCGATTGGACGGGAGACACCTTCCCCAGAGAGTCCTCCTTATAAGGTCACAGCAGGATGGGTCCATTTCACAATCATACAAAATCGTCATTTTCACCCCTGTCTGGAGGGACAGTGGATATCCACACTTGGTGAGATTTGGGGTTTTATTTTTCTTACTGCCTGGGACTCAGGAGAGCAGATAAGATGAGCTGCTTTGCAAACGCAGTGACTCCACCAATGAGGACGAATTCTCCTTCTGTGACAATGTGGGCCTTGGGTCACCCCTCTATAAACCCAAAGGACAAACATTCCCTGCCTACTCTCCACTTGGCTCCCCCTGCATTTGCACTGCCTGAGCGGATGGTTCACTCTGACCCTGAGGCTGGGGGCCTCGGGAGGAGCTGAATGTCCCTGACACTGGACAAGGGCCTCTGTCCCCAGACAACCCTGCACTGGCCGTCACGGCTGGTCTTCCCTATAGGGAACCAGACTCTCGCTTCTCTCTGAGCTGTCGTCCTGAGAGTCCTTGGGGCCTGGAAACACCAACACCTTCCCGATCGAGGAGAACCAAGTTCCGTCTCTGATCAGTGAAGCAACCACTGATGGGGTGGGGTGGGGTCTGGAGGAGGAGGAAAAGCTGACCTGCATTTTTATCTGCGGGCTGGCGGCATCTGGAGCTCACGTTTGCATTGCTTGCTCCCAGCCCCCCAAGTTTCCTGGAGTCTGTGCTTCTGGATGATTCTGGAAGTGGATGATTTAAGAGTCTAAAAAGTGGCCCTTTGTTGGGGGAAAATATGGCTCAAAGAGCCCTGAGGAAGCAGCCTGGAATTCAGAGGCTTCTGTGGGGTGACCCTGGACACAGGGTCCTGGACACCCTGACAGACAGCTGCTTTACCACATTTGTCCTCAAAAAGAGAGGCCCTGCCACTGGGGGAGGGTGGCTCATGGGGAATGGGCCCCAGACACAGGGCAGGGGTGGCGGGCAGGCTGGGGGAAGCAGGGCAGGCACTGACCTCCCTGATCCCATTCAATTGTCTCCCAGGTTCCCCGAGGACACAGACCCAGAGGTGAGGGATCCAGCCCGCGGCCTCACCCACAGCAGGAGGCCTCGCCTTCTTTTGCCATCAGAGCTGTACCGTCTCCCCCGTTGTCTTTCCTTGTCACCCAGAGCAAATCAGACCTGCCAGTTTGCCACCTCGACCCCTTGTTTCCTACTTAATGGTCGGAAACCTAGATTAGGACCTCTTAGATGTAATTCTACCTTAAACATCACTAAAGAGATTTCCTCACTCGCTACCTCACGTGGTAATGAGATTTTAAAAATAATTCCGTGTATTTCCTGAAAAACTCATCCCGTCAGAAAATGTCACCTTGGCAGTGTCATCAAATACTTGTTAATGAAGACCTTTCTTCGTAATAATCTTCATTAAGTTCTCTGTCAAGCATGTGGGCCCGTGTAAGGCGTCACACAGGAAAAAACCCAACAGCCTGCAGTCCCATCCTTTTGGGGTTTAACGTGCCATCACATCAAATAGCATGTGTTACATAAATGCATTTTAAAGGGTGCTTTGTCTTCCCCTCTCGATCGGCCCCCCGGGCCCAGAAAACTATCAAGGCACAACGTATGATCACTGTGTCTTCAAAAACCATGATGATAAAGATGATAGTTTTTAAGTCTTAAAGGCTCAAATTTTGGTTTCCGATGAAGCTAGTGGATTGTTCCTACTACCCAATACTTGATAAATTCTCAGAACGTTTTTTTAAGATGACATCACTACCAAAGGAGGGGTGTTGAAAAGGACAAGGTCAGCCCTGCCCAGTAGGAGTGGCTCCCAGTCAGCAGACTGTGGAATTTGTGCATCACAGTGCTTTGCGGGTTTGGGAGCTGGGCTCACTCCTTAATCCTTAACAGATTTAGAAGCTACCCGCTCTCCTGTACCGTCTGTCCCAGCTAAACGCAGAGAACCACGACGCCGGGAGAGTCAGAGAACTGTGGGGTGGAATGAGGGTGAGTCAGTCAACAATGGCTCGCCAGACACATCCCCCCAACCACGCAGCCTGAAACACACACAGTCACATCCACTCCTGAGGCTGTGGCCACTGAGCTGCCGAGATGCGTATGTCACGTGGTGATGACACCTTAACACGGCCATCAGACTGTCCACTTGCCCCTCCAGTATTTTAAGGTGCTAAGGGGTGCAGGGTGGGCTTGGAGTCCAGGCAATGGGCCAGATCTTCCTCCTTGTCTTCTCTGCTTTCTCCTCGAGGTGGGAGAGCAGGTGCGGGTGCCCTACTGCCCTCTGACCTGCTCGCAGAGCAAGCAGGGACAGGTTGACCCTAGGGCAGAATTCTGGAGAGAGGCATTCTCTGGCCTTCTGTGCAGAAACCCGCACCCTGGGCGTGTTCACTCTCAGCTACACCACAGCTCTTCCTCTGCCTTTATCCGTGAGGCTCTGGGAACCCACAACGGCAAACAAGTCAGGTAAATACTCCTCCTCCTGCCTTTGCAGGGGGGCTTCTGAACGTCCGAGTGGAAGTGACGGCTGAGTATATTTCAGAGCAGCACGGAACCTGCAGGACTTGCCTGAGGATGGCCCTCGACCAGGGCACAGGGACCCTCCAAGGACACACAGGGCAGGGGTGTGGCTATATACGTAATGGGTCGTAACACGGATGACTCCAACTCCATCCACCCCACAGCAAGGCTTGTCTACAAGGGGGAAATGATCAGCTGTTTCATCACTTATGTACTCATGTAACATAAATGATACGGATTTTATCACTGAGCCCACTGTATGGGCTCAAAATGGCAGCACCACGAGCTATATTGTTTACACTAGGGGTCTCCAACCCCAACCCGGTCGCGGATCGGTACCGGTCCAAGGCCAGTTAGGAACCGGGCCACACAGCAGGAGGCGAGTGGCAGTGGGTGGCCAAGTGAAGCCCCATTTGCTGTTCCCCATTGCGCACACTACCGCTGGAACTATCCCCCACTTCCCCTACCCCGCCACATCCCCCTCCTCGGCCCCGGTCCGTGGAAAAACTGTCTTCCATGAAACCAGTCCCCGGTGCCAAAAAGGCTGGGGACCGCTGGTATACACACAAAAAAGTTCAATTCTTCCTCCTGGATTCCAAAGGGGGTGGGGGACTTCTGGGATCAGTTCCCCGCCCTGCTGAGGTCAGAGACACCTCTCCTGCTTGTCAAACTTTCCCTGCTGCCCTGTCTACCAGCGCCACGCCTCACATTTCTACCCCTAAGCTAACAAGTTCTCAGAGTCCCAAACTCAGATGCAGGAGCCTAGACTAAGTCATATATGTTACCACTCCCTTCTCCCTCCAGCCAAATGTCATGATGACAGAAAACAGATTCAAAGCCGTTTTCCTTCTTTTAGATGAGATGCCCGGTCTGGTCATCTGCTCAGACAGGAAAAACGAGGTATAGGGTTGATTGTATCAGCCCTCTATCCACCATGGAAAATGTTCCCCAAACCATATCTCCTAAAGAGACCTGAATTTCTGCTCAAAGAATGAAAACAAATACAGTCCAAGGCCTGACAGTGGGTTCCAGTGACCTGGCTAGAATCCCTCCTGGCTGCATTGAGCATGAACCAGCACGGGAGTCTAAGGGGAACACACACAGGGGCCACCGGAGTCCCCGACAGCCCTATGTGGCAGGCGCGGATGGAGTCGAGGTGGTGCAGGCTACACTTGCCTTTATGGTGGTGCCGGGGCCGATGTCGTGCAGCAAGGACATCTCTGGGGGGCTCCTGGGCAGACCGTCGTCCTCAGAGCTCATGCCAGCATCATCTCCCCGCCTGGCCGGAAGGCCCCCCGGAGGAGGTGGCAGCCCCATTTTCACATTACACTGTATTTTTAACTAGATCGGAATAAAGAACATTTGCTGTTGTTTTCGTCAGCAACTTTTCTCAACAAATGCTCCCGCTGCAATTCATTCATTCAAGAGATATTTTCAGCACCCTTGCCTGGGGCAGGGAACTGAACTGCGAGCCTGCCACCAGCTCTGCCGCTGTCATCTTGAAAATGAGTGGTTATAACTGAGAATGAGGTATGGTCCAATTGTAACTAACTGGGTGAGTCTTGGGAGAGCTGCAACGTGCATGCAATTGGGCTTTAAAATAGATCAAGTAAACCCAGCAGAAATCATCTTAAGACTTCCCAATGCCTACCTGACATACGTACCCAGTGTCGCCACAGGGAAACGTTTACCTGCAAAGCTTTAATCCGGTCACACACATTTTCTTGGGAAAAGACCCGCACCGGCCGAGGAGGGTCCTGTCCCGACTCAGGAATGAAAATACTGTCGTGTGAGAGGGCCCGGCTGCCCAGCGTGCCCCTTGACTCCCTAGGACGAAAGAAGCACTGTGACCCTCGGCTGGTCCCGGGGGGCTTGGGATGGGGCTAAGGGCACATGCTACAACAAGCCTTCAGCTGCATTTATTTGTTTTAACTGCTTACGACTTTGGTTCATCCTGTCAAATACCACGGTCAATTATTAGGAGCTTTGTAGAAATAGGGATTTTTCTAACAGATCTGAAGGTTATGTGAATTCTTTTCGTTAAGGGAAAAACCAAGGTCTGACGAGGTGTGAGGTCTAGGACAGCAGGCCTGCAGAGAGGAAGGGCTGGCAGGGGGCCTGGGCTGGCTGGCAGGCTGTGCAGACTGTCCTGGGTGCCCAGGGAGGGTGAGGTCTTTCCTTGTGGGCAAACATGCAGCCCCTCAGTGGGCTGGAGACCGTGTTTGCACAGCAGGCTGAGGGCTTGCCAGACGGAGGCATCCTTACAACGTGGTCCAAAACACACACGTCCACGGCTGGGTTTGAAAAGAATTGCGATGTGCAAAGCCACATCCTCATCTCATTACCTGATGTGATCTGTGCAACCCAGCCTGTGTGCCAAGGTCCTGGGGCGGAGATGGCGGCCCCTTCTGGCATCACCATCCCAGCCCCTTCCCCAGCCCCGAGCTCAAGGCTCCAATTTGGAACTGAACCCACAGAACATTCACAAAACGTGCTAAGAGGATGTGGGAGTTATCGTCAGATTTTCCTAGCGGCGCTGGCAGCCTGAACAATAGGTGGAAGGAGGTGACTGAGACACGATGATGAAGGAAGGAAAGCCTGTCCGAAGACGCTGCCACCTTCTGCACCAACAGCCCTTCCCCCACCCCAGCCCTGGGCATCCTGTCCTTTGTGAGGCATTAGGGACTCCTGGGTGTGACCCCGCCCCATGTTGGTTAGTGATGTTTTCTAGCTTCCTTCCAGCCGCTAGAGTAAGTTTGCAAGTGGGGAACCCACAGCTCACAAATGTCCTCACATTTCTGGGAGAGAGTGAGGCCGAGTGAAAGAACCAGGAGGGCCTCCTGCTAATGGCAGCTGTTGTCACAAAGATCATATGCACACCTGGGCTGCCCTCCCACAGCGGGCAGCCCATGGCCACACCCTCTGGAAACCATAATCACTGCCCAAACACCTCTACTCTGGGTGTAACTAGAATTCAAGACAGTGTGAAAAGGCCGCTGCAAAGACACAAAATGCTATATGCTCAAGGCCATTGACTACAGCATCATTTATAGATGCAAAAGACTGGAAACAGCCCACATGTCCCTCAGCAGGTACCTGAATAAACTATGGGACGTGATATACTAGAGGCTCTGCAGCTGACCAAAGGGGTGAGGGGCAACCCTGTGTGCAGGTAGCACCAGACTCTAATAAGTGAAAAATAAAAACGGAGTGCAGACAGTGCTGTGTTAGCTCTGTGTGGGAAAGGGGGTATGAACACATACAAACATATGTGTGTTTGCGTATATTTTTAAAAAATAAAAATAGAAAGATAAGGAACCAATGAATAAAAATAGCCTCCTTTAGGGCTTCCCTGGTGGCGCAGTGGTTGAGAGTCCGCCTGCCGATGCAGGGGACACGGGTTCGTGCCCCGGTCCGGGAAGATCCCACATGCCGCGGAGCGGCTAGGCCCGTGAGCCATGGCCGCTGAGCCTGCGCGTCCAGAGCCTGTGCTCCACAACGGGAGAGGCCACAACAGTGAGAGGCCCGCATACCGCGAAAAAAAAAAAAAAGTCTCCTTTAAGGGGAAGGATAGAACAAGACGAGACTCAGGGTACCAAGGTTTCTACTTATACTTAGAATGTTGTCTTTGAAACTATGAAAACATTTTGCATCGTTAAAAGACAAAATCAAACAAAAAGGGAAATCAGCCTCTAAAACTAGAAAACAAACAAAAGGAAACAAGTCTAATTTTATATCAGGTTGTCAGCATAAACACAGAGAAAAGAATGATTTCAAGTGACTTTAACTTGACATCCAAGTGACTTTTGACTCTACATCTGTAATAGGATAAATTCTAAGAACAAAAAGCACAAAGACAGCAAATTGTACTTGGTAGTCTTAGTAGCAATATTGGTTAAAAAAAACAGTGCAGAACAATCTTTATAGTACGTAACCTCCGGGTGGGAAAGGGGGAAATGAGATTATTATAAGTACATTAAATGATGAAGAAAATAAATAATTTTATTAGTATCATTAGGAACCAAGATTTCCAGTAAAATAGAAAAGTGAATTCAAACAAAGAATCAAAGAAGCAACAAGTCTGTCTAAATAAATTTGAACTGGAAATACCAGTGAATTAATGATTTATTTTTCTCTTTAAAAAAACATATTTCCTAGCTACATCTACTGGAAAGGTCTAGAAGCAATGACAGCCAACTAACAATCATCAGCCCTGGCAGGCAGACTGTGGTCGCTAAAAACCATTTCACACTAAAAGGAAATGGCTGATTACAGGTCTACGGCAGGAAATGTACAAACTAACTTGGGATTTCTCATCATGCAAGAAAGCAAAGAACCTTCCAGAGACAAATGGGGCCATGTCAAAAGAACCAGGAGCTAATCTGAAGTGACTCTCAGTAGAATAGGATGGGACCGTGTGAGCATAAAAATGAACAGAGACTGTCATGGGTTAGGGCACATCAAATATATAAAAATCCATGCATTCACAATGATAGTCAAGAAAAAAAGAAAAGAAAAAAAGAAAACTCATCACTCAGTTTTGGAAGTTTGCTAGGGTACCAGGTCATTACTCTGAAGGTAGATGGATAAAAAGAGAACCAAGCATTACCCTGCTTTTCCTGTACAACTTGTATTTCAGAGCAACCAAGGAGTTGATGAAGGAAAGGTCTTCTGCATAGACGAATGCTAGCTAGCACATATGCAGAATGAACGATCGAATTAGAAAAACCACCATTTTACAATGAAATAATGGATCTAGTAATGATCAGCAGCAGGTGTAAAAACCATCAGGTGAAGGTTCGTGGATGGATCACACTGAGAGAGACCCCCTGAACCCACCGCTCAGTCTCAGCATCACCAGAAGTGGGACAAACAGAAAGCATGTGCCTTGTGATGAGATGTGACAGGAAGTATCCAGGACCGTCTTGAATCTAAATCTAATTAAATATCGAGATCCAGCTACCATTCTACGAGAAATGCAGAGAATACAGACATGAGTCCAATGATACCAAAAGCAAGCAAATCCCGATGTGGGATATTCTCCATTTGATCAGTGACATGAAACAAAGCAGGAAGGGTGAAGGAAAATTGTTATAGATCAAGAGACTCAAGAAGCATAACCCCACTGACACAGTACATGGGCATCAACTTCTTAAACCCACAGGGTTTCATGTGGTGTGTCAGCCTTAATGTACCTTGGTAAGTGGACCTTTTTGCCCATGGTGATGGATGACAAGTTGCTACTCAGTCTAGAAGGCTCACGGACTCTTCAAAGAGGCTAAAGAGTACCTTTAAATTTTTGTCTCTTATACGGTCAATTACTCTATGACACAGGAACCAAGAATATATCACGGGGAAAGGACAGTCTCTTCAATAAATAGTGTTGGGAAAACTTGGACAGCCCCATGCAAAAGAATGAAACTGGACCACTATCTTATACCATACACAAAAATCAAAATGGATTAAAGACTTGAACGTAAGACCTGAAACCGTAAAACTCCTAGAAGAAAACATAGGGAGTAAGCTCTTTGACATTGCTCTTGGCAATGACTTTTTGGATTTGACACCAAAAGCAATGGCAACAAAAGCAAATATAAACAAGTGGGGGCTTCCCTGGTGGCGCAGTGGTTGAGTCCGCCTGCCAATGCAGGGGACGCGGGTTCGTGCCCCGGTCCGGGAGGGTCCCACATGCCACGGAGCGGCTGGGCCCGTGAGCCATGGCCGCTGAGCCTGCGCGTCCGGAGCCTGTGCTCCACAACGGGAGAGGCCACAACAGTGGGAGGCCCGCATACCGCAAAAAATAAATAAACAAACAAGTGGGACTACATCAAATTAAAAAGCTTCTGTGGCACGATACTGTAAATCAGCTATACTTCAATAATTAAAAAAAAAGCTTCTGCACAGCAAAGGGAACCATCAACAAAATGATAAGGCAATTTACAGAATGGGAGAAAATATTTGCAAATCTATATCTGGTAAGGGGTTAATATCCAAAATATTTAAAGGACTCATACAACTCAATAGCAAAAACCCAATCCAATTAATAAATGAGAAGATCTAAATAGACATTTCTCCAAAGAAGACAACAGACGGCCAACAGGTACATGAAAAGGAGCTCAACACCACTAATCATCAAAGAAATGCAAATCAAAAACAGGAGACAAAGCTTCAGATCTGTTAGAAGGGCTTTTACAAAAATGACAGGAGATAAGTGGTATCGAGGATGTGGAGAAAAGGGAACCCTTTTGCACTGTTGGTGGGAATGTAAGTTGGGGCAGTCGCTATGGAGAACAGTATGGAGGTTCCTCAAAAAAATTTAAAATAGAACTACCATATGATCCAGCAATCTTGCTTCTGGGTATTTATCTGAAGGAAATGAAAACAGGATGTTGAAGAGATATCTGCAGTCCCATGTTCATCACAGCATGATTCACAATAGCCAAAACATGGAAACAACAGAAGTGTCCATCAATGGGTGATGGATAAAGAAGACGTGGGACATATATGCAACAGCACATTATTTAGTCATGAGAAAGGAGGACATCCTGCCATTTTCAACAACATGGATGGACCTTGAGTGAGATCAGACAGAGAACAAAAAATACTCTATGATCTCACTTCCATGTGGAATCTAAAAAAGCCGAACTCATAGAAACAGAGTAGAAAGGTGGTTACCAGGGGCTGGGGGATGGGGGAAATGGGGACATGTTGGTCAAAGGGTAAAAACTTCCAGCTATAAGATGAGTAAGTTCTGGGGATCTACAGCACAGTGATTACAGTTAATCATACTGTATTATATACTTGAAAACTGTTACGAGAGTAGATCTTAAATGTTCTCACCACAAAAAAAAAACGGTAATTAGGTGACATGATGCAGGTATTAGCTAATGTTATGGTGGTAATCATGTGGCAGCATGTAAGCGTATTAAATCAACACGTTGTACACCTTAAAACTCCCATAACATTATATGTCAATGATCTCTCTCAATAAAGCTGGGAAAAAAAGAGAGAAAGCTCTTGTCTCACCTCTGCGCTGTTCTCTAAGGACATTATTTGCACTTACCAGGTGTCATCACAACTCCACCCCAAGCTTCCGCTCCTAGCATCACTCTAGCAAACTTTCACCAGTAACTGAAGACCCGCCCCTGCCAGGTGCTGAGAATATAAAGATGAAAGGGGCACTGTCCCCACTCTCCATGGGCTCTGGTGACAGATGACGGACAAGTGGACAGGTCATTTCGGCCCAGCTCACCCCCCTGCTGTGTTCTTATTCCTTGGCTGGTGGGGCCGCTGAGTGTTCTGGTCGAGAGACTGGGTGGGTAGAGGCGAGTGTTATAATGTCCTTGGGGCTGGCCCAGTGAAGACATGTAACAGTGAGCAATTAATTCTATACGATGATGTCTTGCTCCCCAAGAGTTTGGAGCTGCCTTAAAAATGCGTGTATAGCCCGTCCTCTCCACTCTTCACAAGGTCCCATGTGGGTGCCTCCTATTCCCAGCCAGCACCAGAAAAAAAAAACAACCTGAAAGACAAAGCTCAAATCTCTCCTCTTTAGTCGTTTGGCGCCACCAAGCGGTCAGTGTAATTTCTACTCCTTTAGAAACAGGCAAGGAGACTGGTGAGGAAGGAGGGGACAGGACCCCATCTCAGCACGGTCTGTCTCCCAATCCCAGGGTCATTATGCCTTATCCTCAAATTAAGGAGCCCATGTTGTTTAAAAGAAACAAAACCTGGCATGGCAACAAATCTGGTTTTGGTTTTTCCCTTTTACTCACAGAAATAACTGCTGGAATAACCAAAGCATATGTATTATAACTATATTCTGATGAAGTACAAGTTACAAAAATACAGATTTCTTCCCTAGACTTCCCCATATTTCATACCTATTGAAATATGGGTTTCTGTTCTTCCTAACAATATTTTTGGATGATTTTTCTAAGACTGAACAGCAAGGAGCCTTCCCCCTACTCCTCTCTCTCTCTCCAGTGGAAAATTTTCTTATTGGGTTACTGAGGACTCAGGCTTAGAGAGATGTATTTTTCTGGTATGGTATCCAGGTCCTCAAAAGAGTTTTAAGTCAAATTAAATGAGGGATTACTTCCTAATCTTGCTACTTTCAGCTGTAGGACATTGGGCAAATTTTCCGAAATTTCTCTAAAGCTTGGTTTGTTCATTTATAAAATGGTATTTCTTACCTCCTCTTTCATAGTTATGTAGACTTTTTAATTTATTTATTTATTTTTTGCTGTACGCAGGCCTCTCACTGTTGTGGCCTCTCCGGTTGCGGACGCGCAGGCTCAGCGGCCATGGCTCACGGACCCAGCTGCTCCGCAGCATGTGGGATTTTCCCGGACCGGGGCACGAACCCGTGTCCCCTGCATCGGCTGGCGGACTCTCAACCACTGCGCCACCAGGGAAGCCCTAGACTTTTAATATATACACACCTGGCACATAGCGGGTACCTGATAATGTTCCCCTACCCCCCGCTCCAACTTTCTCCATCCCTAAGTATGAAAAGACAGAAAACACCATATCTATCGAAGAACCTCCAGTGGAATTACCTAGGAGGAAAGTAAGCTCAGAAACCCACCAAGTTACCACAACAACTAGCCCAAGTATTGGGGTCCTCCTGTGACCCCTCCTGCCCCTTCGAACACACAAGCCTGAAGGATGGAAAAGGCAACTTACTCCAGCTCATCCTCTGAGTCGTAGCCCACTGGCCCTGACTCGATGGCAATGACCTCATTCTTTGCCTGGCTTTGTTTCCAGGTGCTACTTCCTGTGGAAGAAGGAGATTCCTTTCTCTTCTTCTTCCCAAAGAACTTCTTAAACGTTTTGAATTTGGACTTTTTCTTTCCTATGCAAAAAGAATGCATGTGAGTATTTACCAGACACGTATGAGATGTGCACGAGAAGGAAAGTAAGATTTCTGTCCGTGCATCAATTATTCGCTCCTGAAAAGTCCTTTTACCACACAGAAGGTTGTGAAGCACACAGCATACCATTTTTGCACACCTGAAAACACCTTGATTTCTGTCTATTTTGGACATTGAATAAAACAGCCAAGAAAGCTTTGGAGCATGATCACAGAAACAAGGCACAAGCAACTTCCCTCTTACTTGAAATCAACACTTTTTTAACATATCTTTCACGTCCTTGGTTCATTTTATTCCTAAAGAGTTAATTTTTTTGATGCAACCATGCTTTTTATTTCTATTACCATACATTTGTTTTGCCCATTCTTGAATTCATACGGCATATCCTGTATGAGTAGAATCATACAGCATATACTCTTGTGTGTGGCTTCTTTCCCTCCATATACCGCTTCTGACACTTTGCATCGTGATGTGTGCATTTTGCATTCTTCCTCTTTTTCTAAATTGCTAAGTAATATTCCACTGTATAAATGAAATCAGATTTTAATCCCTAAAATAAAAATAGTCAAAAGCAAATTTTCCTGATGAGGTAAAGCCCGTAAATGATAACCCAACTTATTTTCCAAAATAATCCTCAAGTGCTAATACATATATATATATATGTATATATAACGGAATCACTTTGCTGTACCGCAGAAACTAACACAACATTGTAAATCAACTATACTTCAATAAAATAAATTTTTTAAAAAATCCTCAAGTGCCCATGATTTCGGCAGCTCAGCAAAGTCCATTCCTTTCCTTCTGAATATGAGAACTAACAACAGAAGGATGGAACATCACAGGTTACCAGGCTGCTGTCTAATATATCCTGAAAATTTGCTAACAATTGATTTGTTTGATAAGTAAATCATTCTGTAAGCTGAATTCCTCTTTTTATAAATTTACTTTTATTTATTTATTTATTTTTGGCTGTGTTGGGTTTTCATTGCTGTGCCCAGGCTTTCTCTAGTTGCGGCAAGCAGGGGCTACTCTCCGTTGCGGTGTGCGGGCTTCTCACTGCAGTGGCTTCTCTTGTTGCAAAGCACGGGCTGTAGGCATGCGGGCTTCAGTAGTTGTGGCATGCGGGCTCAGTAGTTGTGGCGCACAGGCTTAGTTGCTCCACGGCATGTGGGATCTTCCTGGACCAGGGCTCGAACCTGTATCCCCTGCATTGGTAGGCAGATTCTTAGCCACTGCGCCACCAGGGAAGTCCCTGAATTCCTTTTTAAAACACCAGGATCTTTATATTCGGTTTATGTTCATGCCCCCCTTGGGAAGTTTACATGATCTTGCCTTAATGTGGAGAATTTCTTAGGATTACTCTACAGTTGGAGTACCTATATGACCTTAGGTGGAGCAGATCCCTGCCCAAAAGGAAAGGAGTTCTACAGCCAAGTTTTCTTAACTTACAGTGGAAGTTTCCTTACCTTTATAATCTCAAAACGTTTATGTTGTTAACTGATTGGTCTCAAAGAGAGCTTATTATTTGGAAAGCCTCTTCAGAGTTTTTTGCATCTGCCAGGACACCATCTGGCCTTTGCCTAGTTGACAAATAGGTACGCACCCCTGAAGGTCTGCACAAACACGCAGCCTCACGATCCTTTACAGTCAAAGAGGCTCCTTCGGGATTAAAGCAAGTGGCTACCAACACCCAGAGTACAGCCACTGAACACTTGTTTGATTTGCCATAATTAGTTGGCCATCCACTGGAGGCCCGTTTGTGTTATATCTGTTAGGCTGCTAGCCTTTTTCATTCAATTTCTTTAATGGTTATAGGAACTATTTGGGTTTTCTATTTCTTGAATTTGTTTTATTGTTTCATTTTTCTAGAAATTTGTCTTTATTTCCCACATTTTCAAATGCACTGGCATATAGCTGTTAATATCCTCTTATTATCTTAGCATCTGTACTATCTATAATAAAGCCCCCTTTTCTCAGCCCTGCTATTCTCTGTCCCTCCTTTTTTCCTGGATCAATTACACAAGAGGTTTGTCAATTTCCTTTGCCTTAAAAAAGTTTGGCTTTGTTCATTCTCTCTACTGAATATTTATTTTTTTATTGGACTAATTTCTGGTCTAGTTTTTCCTTCCTTCCTCCTACTTTCTTCAGGTTTACTTTGCTATCTTTTTAAACTTCTTGAGATGAATACTTGGCTAATCAATTTTTAGGCTTTCTGTTTTTATAATACACACATTTAAGGCAATGCATTTCCTTCTAAATCTGTTTTAGCTGCATCTACATGTTTTTTCTTCTTTTTAAAAATATTTGTTTCTTTATTTATTTGGCTGTACCAGGACTTAGTTGTGGCACACTGGATCTTCCTTGCACCACACGGGATCTTCCTTGCACCACACGGGATCTTCCTTGCACCACACGGGCTCTTTTAGTTGCAGCACACTGGGCTCCTAGTTGTGGCATGCGGGATTTTTTTTTTTTTTTTTTTTTTAGTTGCGGCTATCGGAATTCTAAGTTGCGGCACGCATGGGGGATCTAGTTCCTTGACCAGGGATCGAACCCAGGCCCCCTGCTTTGGGAGTGTGGAGTCTTAACCACTGGACCCCCAGGGAAGTCCCTGCATCTACATGTTTTGATATATAGTTTCCTTACTATTTGCTTGAAAATATTTTCTAATTTTCATTAGAATACCTTTTTGGACCTATAGGTTATTTAGACAAGTATGTCAATATCCAAGCACTTGGGGATTTTCTTATTATCTTTGTTATTGAGTTCTAGCTTAATTGCGCTGTGGCCAGAGAACACACCCTGCATGATTTGAATCCGTTCAAATTTGTTGAGACTTGCTTTATGGCTTACCATATATTTGTAAATGTTCCTAGAGCACTTGAATTAATGTATTTTCTTCAATGTTCTATACACATCGATTAGGACAGGCCTTTTTCTTTTTAATTGTGTTGTCCAGGTACTTTGTCTTTAATTTTTAATACATCTGTCCTGTCAATTAGGTGTATTAAAAATAACCCACTCTGTAGATTTATCGTTATTTAACTGTCAATTTCTACTCCATAAATTTTGACATTATGTTGATAAATGCCAAAGAAAGGTAAAATTAATATCTTCCTGGGGAAGTGGACCTACTGTGAAATGACCCTCTTTATTTTTAGTAATGCTTTTTGCCTTAAATTTTATTTTGATTGCTATTGATACAGCTATGCCAGCTTCCCCTGGCCCAGTGTTGCAAGGTTCCTTTTTTTCTATCCCTTTTACCTTCAACTTTTCTGAATCCTAAGAGATACAGAGTTTTAGAAAGCCAATTTGAGCTTTAAACTTCTAACGGGAACAATTAATGTAACTAGCTACTGACCCTTATTCTAATTACTGATATGTTAATAAAAACAAGTCTACCATCTCTGTGGTTTTTCTTAATCTCCTTTCTTGCTGTCTTCCGGACTAACTGACTTTAAAAAATTATTCCATTATCTTCCCACTTCTAGTTTGTAAACTTTGCCTTTTACCTCTGTTCTTTCACGGGTTACCCTAGAAATTATACCCCACATTCTGTTAAGGGACAAAACAAGAAAGTTAGAATACTTTAATCCTATGTTTATGCCCTATTGTTTTCATTCTGATCTTTAAAAACCCAAAAGATATTATTCCATGTTCATTTAGATGTGTTTGCTTGTTTCTCATTTTCTTTGCTTATCATTCCTTCCTGTGTCCAAATCCTCCATCAAGGATGATTTTCCTTCCACCCGAAGGGAGATTCCTTTAGAATCTGAGGGTCTCCTGGTGACAAACTCAGTTTTTGTTTACCTGAAAATGCCCTTATTTCTCCTTCATTCCTAAAATATCGTATCCCTAGGTTTAACATTCTAGGTTGGCAGTTATTTTTTCTAAGTTATGCTTTCAGTAATATTAAGCCATTATTTCACTGTGTTGTGGCTTCTGTCGTGTGGTCAGGAAGTCAGTTTTTTGTTGCTTCGAAGGTAATCTTTTTTCCTCAGACTAATTTTAAGATTTTTTCATTTTTGTCTTTGGTTTTCTACATTTTCATTCGATGTGGATTTCCTTTTATTGATCCTTTTTGGGATTCATTCAGTTTCTTAAATCTGTGGACTGGGGCGTCTTTTGTGTTTTTTTTTTTAAGTCAATTCCAGAAAATTCTCAGCTATTCTCTCCTCTCCTGAGACTGTGCTCAAATGCATGTTACACCCTTTCACTTATCTCTATGCTTCCTGTTCTCTTTCCGTATCTTCCTTCTTTTTACCACTCTGTGATACATTCTGTATACTTTCTTGTGCTCTCTCTCGAGCTGATATAATCTGCTATTAAACTCATCCACGTAATTTTTAATTGTAATAGTTTTACTTATTTCTAAAAAATCCACTTGATTGTTTTTCAAATCTGGTACCTCATTTAAAAGTTGTTTTAAAAATTACGTCAGTAAAACTGACTCTTTTTGGTGTATACAGAGTTGAATAATCACCACCAAAATCAAGATACATCATCATTGTGCTGTCTTTTGTAGTCAAACCCTTCCCCTACCTTTAACCCCTGGAAAGCACTGATATCTTCTCTGTTCTTATAGTTTTGCCTTTTCCAGAATGTCATATAGAGTGATTCAGACAGTATGTATCCTCTTGATTCTGGCTTTTTTTCACCTACCACCATGCATTAGAGATTCATCCATGTTGTTACCTCAATCAATAGCTTGTTCCTTATTATTGCTGAGTACTGTTCCATTGTATAGATAGAAACAAAGTGGTAAACAAAATGAAAATTGTTATAGGTTTTTGTGTAAACATAAGGTTTCACTTCTCTTAGGTAAATACCTAGGAGTGGGATTGGTGGCTCATAGACTAAGTGTGTATTTAATTTTATAAGAAACTGCTAAAATACTTTCCAAAGTGGCTGTACCATTTGCATTTTCATCAGCCATATATGAGAGTTCCAGTTGCTCTGCATCCTCACCAGCATTTGTTTCTGTTTTTGTTCTGCCATTCTAATAGGTGTATAGCGGTATCTCGGTGTAGTTTTAATTTGCATTAACTAATGACTATTGGTGTTGAGCACTTTTTCATGTGCTTTTTTGCCACCTGTGTATCTTCTTAAGTAAAGCATCTTTAAAAACCTTTTCCCTATTTTTAATTGGGTTGTTAGTTTTCTTACTGTCGAATTTTGAGTGTTCTTGTCAAATGTGATTTGCAAATATCTTCTCCCAGTCTGTGATTTGACTTTTCATTTTCTTAACAGTGTCTCTTACAGAGCAAAAGTTTTAAATTTTGATGAAGTCCAATTTATCGACTTTTTCTTTTAGGGACTGAGTTGTCATATCTATGAACTCTTATCTAATCCTTGGTCATAAATATTTTCTCCTATATTTTCTTTTAAAGCATTTATAGTATTACATTTATGACTATGATATATTTTAAATTAATTTTTCTATACTCATTTGAGTTCAAATAAACTTTGAACTCTCAAAGTTCATTTTTTTACATATGAATGTCCAATTGCTTTAGCACCATTTGTTGAAAGACAATTACCAGCGCATCTACTGAAATGTGACAGAGGAAAAGTAGTCCTAATATGGAATAATAATATATAATAATATATTATGTAATATATGAAATAAAGTCTGTAATGAAATTAGTATCTGAAGCTAAGAGATAAGCGCTAGGATTTAATATTATTGGAAGCTGTTCCCCTGAACTACCTCAAAGACAATCACTATTAGCACTTTGACTTAAAACAAGAGAGAGAGACGGAGAACTCTGTCACCAAAATAAGGTGAGTAAAAATGGCTGATACGGGAAAAGGCACATGTGGGGAGATTAACGTTTTCTAATGTCAGTTTTACAACTCTATAAAGACATACAGAGCAATCTATGGATAACAGTAAACCAATCGCATAACTGGGTAACTCTTGGAATGCGTTATGAGATGATGATTGATGCGCTTGGAATTTAGCTCAGTAGAAAGTGCAATAAAGGTCTCCTGAAGGAGGATAAAAGCCATAAAAGAGGACTCAAAGGCTCTCTCTTGATATCATTATTTCTTCTGGATGATTAGACCATCCAATACTCTGCCTGACGTCCCGCTGAAACTTTTGGATGTTCCTGGATGATAAATGATTCCATTGCATCTCACTTCCTTTGCTTTCGAGTCAACCAAACTTTGGGACATGTTGACCTCCAGGAAGGAGGAAAATGAGTAATCCACCCCCACCCCCGTTGCCGTGTCTGACAGAGAAGCCAAGGAGCACTGCCCCTGGGTGGCCGCCAACAGTCTGGACGTGCTCTCCAGCCACATGTGTCTGAACACACTGTGAACTGAACCCACACTCCACGTAGAGAACCTAAAGCCCTGGCTCTAGCAGCCCCTCTCTCAGCCCTACAACGCAACAAGGGCTCCGCCCAGCACAGGGGAAGTAAGGGCCTTACCTGTGCTGTCCTCCCCAAGGCCTTCCGCAGCCTCCCGAAGCTTAATGTCCATCACCCTCGTGGAAATCATGTCCAGCTCACTAAAATCAGATAGAAAGTCATGTTAGAGGAGCAAGTCTAACAGAAGTTATCAGTGACTGAAATGGTGGTGACTGCCTTTTGCCCATGTCCCTGGCAAAGACAGATTCCAGGTCAGTAGAGGCCAAAAACATGTCCAAGATTAGTAACCACATCAGCATTTATCTAATCACTGACCAGAGCCATTTAATGGAAAATGCTTCACCGATTTACACAATGCAGATTTCATTCCTTTCTTTGAAAAAAAAATTTTCAGAAATTATGTTTTTCTCTTGTTCACTGTAGAAAGTTTGGAAGATAGAATGAAAATCACCCATTATCCCACCAACCAAGAATGACTAACTATGGAACGTTTTAATGTATTTCCTTCCAATATCTTTTATGCAAATATTTATGTGCACAAGCACACATGCACTATATTATTAGTAAGACTGAGTTCCTGATTTTCTCATCCCACATCAGTAAAATTCTTGATGTTATTGTAATGGCTACATGATGTTTTGATATTATGCTGTACCATCACTTATTTATATTGTTTCTTTTTTGAACTTTTTATGAAAAATTTCAAACAGATATAAAAGTACAGAGAATGTATAATGAATTTAAAACATGAGGACTCTTTTTCATTTTTACCCCTTCTCCACTCCCCGCTAACTAGGTTATTTCAAAGCGAATCATTCCACATACCAGTATCATTTCATCCATAGGGACTTGCCTTCTCCCCAGATTAAAAATTTCTGACTCTTCATGGAAATCAAATAAATGATTACTGGTCAGTATTCCTGCTACAGAGTATTGAGCTGCGTCCCTGCTTTCCACAACTGACTTTTAAACAGCACATTCTATCCCACACAGACTAACTCCTCATTTACTTGGAAAGCTATTCCTTATTGGCAATTACTATGAATTCTCATACTTTAAAAGGGAGCTAAAACATTTAATTAACCAATTAACATTTACCACTTGCACACAGTACATATGGGAAATGATGGGAAAAATTAAAAAAAAAATTAACAGAGGAAAGAAGATGCAGGTCTTTGCTAGAGCTGGGTCTAATATTTAGGTCTCCTTTAATATTAATGTCAAACTGCCCCATCCCTGACCAGCCAATTCCTTAAAAGGGGAACAAACCTTCATTAGCCTTGCTTCTTGATTTTGATATAATTTGGCTTTACAAAAATGTTGGATCAACAGGATGAAGGAGAAAAACACCACACACACAAATCATCTCAACTGATGCAGAAAAACCATCTGACAAAATTCAACACCCTTTTGTGATAAAAAAAAAAAAGCACTCAAAAACCTAGAAATAGAGAAAAACTACCTCAGCATAATAAAAGCCATATATAAAAAGTCCACAGCTAACATCATACTCAACACTGAAAAACTTAAAGTTTTTCCTCTAAGATCAGGAACAAGACACTCTCACCACATCTATTCAACACAGCACTGAAGTTCTAGCCAGAGCACATAGGCAAGGAAAATAAATAAAGGGCATCTAAGTTGAAAAGGAGGAAGTAAAATGATCTCTGTTCACATGTGACATGATCTCACATGTAGAAAATCCTAAAGATCCCTGCCATACCGCACACACACAGAACTGTTAGAACAAATGAATTCAGCAAAGTTGCAGAACACAAAATGAACACACACTCATCAGTTGTCTCTATAAACTAACAATGAACAATCCCAAAAGGAAATTAAGAAAATAATTCCATTTACAATAGCATCAAAAAGAATAAAGCACTAAGGAATAAATTTAACCAAAGAGACAAAAGACTTATATCCTGCAAACTAGAAAATGTTGATGAAAGATTGAAAATAATGCCAATAAATGGAAAGACATCCCGCGTTCATAGATTGAAAGACTTCTTGTTGTTATGATGTCCATACTACCCAAAGCAATCCACAGATTTAATGCAATCTTTATCAGAATCCCTGATCCCACAGTATCCTGCCGCTTGATGTTACTATAGGGGATGGGGCGGCTACCAGAGGATTTGAAGGAAGAGGCAGTAGAGAAGGAGCAATGCAAGGAGCAAGGAGAGTAAAAGTGGTCAGATTTGGTTAAGAGTCACCAACTACTACCCTGGATACCATCTTCTATGGTTGCCGCTGAGCTAGAAAGGACAAGTGCTTGAGGTTTCTATCGCTTGAATTTGGAGTTAACAGCTGCAATTACTTATCAAGCATGCAGCATATCATCTGATTGTCTCATTTCATCTCCAAGAACTCTAAGTATTCCCATTTTGGAAATGAGAACATGTATTATGGATCAGGTAAGTTTATTAACTGGCCCAAAGTAGTGAGGCAGAGACACCAACCTATATACCCATACTGACCGCATATGCAGGGTGGGCAGGCACTTATGAGGCCTGGGGATACAGCGATGGATGAGACCAACTTGGTCCCTGCCTCTTGCACGTGCTGACCCAGTGCAGTGGAGCATCCTGAGCTGTCCCCAGAGGGGTTTAAGGGAAGCTGGGAAATCCGAAGGACACCAATCTCCCACGGAAATGGCTCTGCCTGCCAAGCAGCCCCTGTCCAGCATCAGGCCAGGCTCAGAGGCTGAAGGAGCCCCAGGAGACCATCCATTGGGTCTGACAGGGCATCTTAGTCAGCAGGGGGTGGGGGTGGGTTGAGGCTGCCATGATTTATCAGCTAACACTCCTAAGAAACCATGAGGTTACCTTCAAAATGTCCACTTCTGCACAGTTTACAAAATGTTCCTTGCCAGGAAGTGCTGAGAACATGCAAGTGTATGTGAGCGTGTGCACAGCCTCGGAGGTGGGTGTACAGGAGGGCGCCCATCCCGCTGAGTGTGGAGTAGACCCAGGAGCTCAGAAGCGCTTCTCCCTGGATTGAACAACGTGGCTGTGATAAAGCCCTGTGCACAGGGCAGAGGGCTCAGGAGCAGGTGGGAGGGTGAGCGGGAGACACCAGAGGATGGCCCGGTCCTCACCTTGCTGGAAGGTACGTTCTCGGCGGGGGCCCAGGAGCAGAAAGCAGCACGAGAGGCCGAGGCTGCTGATGAACTCGCGCTCAGAGGCAAAAGCCACCCCCAGACCAAGGGACGACAAGTCAGCCTCACCCCACGTGGGAGGTTTGAAAGCCTGCTCACGCTTGAGGTTCCAAACAGCTTCTTACTCATAGGAGTGCAGTATGATGCGGAGGAAACGGGAAAGACTTGAAAGTGACGCAGTGCTGGAGCTGAAGCCGCATCCCACCACGTACCAGGGCGGAGCCTCTGTTTCCTCGTTTACAAAATGGGGGCAGTAACACTTTAACGAAATGGGACTGAGAACACAGCACATACAAGCACCCACTGAGAAGAGCTGTCGGTTTCTGCATCTCGTTTCTCACCATGGGCTCACGCCTCTGCACGATTGCAGACAAGAACACACATCACCGGCACGCCCTAGGGACTGGCCATGCTGTCTCACGTAGGCACAGTCTCCTTGGGCAGACGGCTCGCTTTGGAGCCACCAGTATCAAAGATGAAGACACCTGGGCTCCTAGATGACCCCTGACCTTCGCAAGGCTCCGCAGCCCGACGGACCGTGAATGAAACTGTTGCCAAGAAACTGATAGAAATATATTCCAGGCCCCGGAGGAGCGCCCTCCACCTGGGACTGCGGGCTGTGCGGATGGAGGACCGTCCCCTGCACTCGAATGCTCCAGGTGCAAACACGCCGCAGCTGTTACAAGGGAACGTCTTCTCTGTTGAGCCCAATAACTTGCCCTGCTGAATACATGTTCCCCAACCCGAGCAAAATTGAAGAAAAAGCCAGAAGGAGAACCATAATTAGGAAGGCAATGTGGCAAATAACCAGTATCTCCCAGCACCCCTTCTGCTTCTCGCTGTAACTCAAAGTTCAAGTCAAGTGGCCCCAATGTCCCCTCAACCAGCTTCTGCCCTCCACCATCCCACCCGGTTGCTCTGACAGCTCAAGTCCAAGTACAGGAAAACTGGTTCTTTAAACCTGGACCTGAGGGGGCCTCTTCAGGGGTTCTAGTTAACTCAAAAGGGTGCTGAGCCTCCAGACCCCTCTGCACAGCACTCATCAGTGTGCATCTGGGCGCCTAACAGGATTCAGGGGCGTCCTGGATCCAAAGAAGGATCCTTGTGAGGGCTGCCCCACTGCCTCTCTCTGAACCCTAACTCACCAGAGGCTTCTCCCCAGCTTCCAGCAGAATTCCATCATTAGTTGCAGCTTATACTGAAAAATTCTACAGAAGTTTATTCACGTGAAGAATGAGAACAGATTTTAATATGGTATTTTAAAGGTACCCATCCATTACACTTATTTACACAATGCAAAGAAAAAGATCTGTATCCTGATTACATACCTCTGAGCCCATAATTGTATACAAAAACCTTAGTGTCCACCCCTACACACCCACTCATTCCACACCACCCTCCAGGCCCTGTCTGCATCTCTGTGGTATTCTGTCTCAGCCCCTGTACCTGTCTTCACAATGCTCACCACAGCTGTCAACAGCAACTTGTCTGTTAGGTGTCTGCCGACCACTCCCCTCACTTCCAAGGCTGAGAGCTTCTATGCCTGTCACATCCATTGCTCTCTTACCAGCAGTAAACAATCCAAAAATGAAGTTAAGAAAACAATTCCATTTACAATAGCATACAAAAATAAACTACTCAGGAATAAATTTAACCAAGGAGGCAGAATACTTGTACTCTGAAAACTACAAAACATTGTTGAAAGAAATTAAAGAAGACATAAATAAGTGGAAAGCTATCCTGTGTTCACAGATCAGAAACTTAATATGTTTAACACAGCAATACTCCCCAAACTGATACACAGATTCAATGCATTCCCTTATCAAAATCCCAGATGGCTTTTTGCAGAAATTGACAAGTTGATCTGAAATTTCGTATGGAAATACGAAGGGCCCAACACAATCTTGAAAGAGAAAAACAAAGATGGAGGACTCGCATTTCACAGTTTCAAAACTGACTACAAGTCCACAGCAATCAAGA